CAGAAACAGAAATTGCCAATAGTGCAAGGCAACTTGGGCGGCATAACTGGCACCTTGGGTCAATCTTAAGCCATCTTTTGAGAAAGGATAAACTTGTGAACATCATGCTGTGCAAAAAATGTTAGAAACCTGTGCTCTTCAATGATTTTGTGCCTGCCTTTGTATGCAAAAAACATCGGTATTTGCGCGGTTTTCTGGCCACTCCATTTCGGTCCGCGCGTGCCTCCAGACCTCCCCAGTGAGATTACCAGAGGTTTACCTGGGTAGGTCTCTGCTATCCTGGCGCTACGTCGGCGGCCAGGGGCCGCGACCACCGCCTTCGGCCCGATACCGGTGCGTTCTGCTGCCGATCCGCATCTTCTACATCACCCTGCATCGCCAATCCTCCAGCAGAAAGGAATACTGTAATGCCAACAAGGGTTCTCATTTTTGGGTCTCTGGTGTCGCTCGAACTTTCGTTGGCTCATGAGCTACTTTGGGCTGCTTGTGGAGGTCGGTTTTGGGTCATTTTTGATCACTTTTGGATCAACGTTTGCGACGTTCAGAAAGCAAAACATCGCAGCTTATAGTGTCTTTGCTGTTGTTAATTAAACATGTCCCTGTCAGCAAACATATAAGTAAGACACAGGGTAAGAACCATGTTTTGCACCCCGCTGTAAGAAGAAAAGGCATGCTAATGCTGATGATCATAAACATCTATATTTACAGTGCTTTTGGGCCCCCCAATGCAAAAACAACTAGGAATTGCGGCGTGTATTGATCTGGGTTGCTTATTGCACGAAGGGTCCGGCCACTGTTCTTATCTGGGTAAAATTGAGGGGGCAGGCATGTCAGGGTAACTGATGCTTGGTAAAACGATGAGACTAAGATTGAATTTACACAGAAAAGTGACGTTAGAACAACGATGAGGTTTCTGAAATCAAGGGGTCTGAGGTTTTCAGATGAGAATCGAAGAAAAGAACAAGGGTAGTAGATTAAAATTAGAAGGGCTGAGACGATCGCACCTTATGATTTTGAGCGATTGCAGGTGGAGGCCTGGAGGTCCAACGGTCCCAAAGTCACGTGTTTTAACAGCAAAACCAATTACATATATATAATATATATACAATGTATTTTACACACATTCCTTACTTTTGAAAACTGTTCCTCAAATCTGAGCCCTTTGGGTTTTAGAGGTTTGCGTTCCAAGGCAATCAATGCTTCGACAATGATTGAACTTGCAATGTTGAAACAGGAAAACCCCAGTACACGTAGCTTTTATCCACGCAAGGAAGAAGGAACTAAATCAAAACTACATGGTCTGACATGTTTGTGTTGTTTGCAGGGCGGGAGGTTGATGGACAAGGACGCCACCCAGATTGGCACGGGTGCAAAGTTTGCTCAAGGTGGGATCTAGAGGTCAAAATAATTTTTTGTTCAAACCAAGCAGTTTCATCTAGAATCTAAACAAACCAGTGTCGCTTCAACTGTTCTTCAAACCCTCGACCTTTGGGCAGCAAGAAAGTTCTCATACTTGAAGTCCTGTGCTTATGGACGCCTCAGTGGGGAGGAAGGATTCCGGGGGTGCGGTGTGGGAGGATTGGGCCGTTCTTGGATAGATTTCAGATGGTTCAGCATCTGTGGTTTGCCTGGGCATCAACCCCAATCGAAATCAGAATTATGTGCAGTCATTTGCGTTCATTGTGTGTGTCATGGGGCAGAGATCTACAGAAGTCAAAGAGTATAAAAAGAGCTGGTTTGAGGGTTTCGCACGGCTTTAAGAAACAGTTCAGGGCTTGGCGGCTTGGCAAACAAAACTAAATATCTCGGGAGACGTGTCGTGAGGCACCAGAAGCCTCCTTGACACATGTCCAGCAGGTCTACCAGGCATAATATGGCATAATAAGACCCTGTATCCATCCTGGTTGCCTGCCAAACGGATGGAATCATCTGAGATTTGCAAGAATTCCTTGTCAAAGCGGGGGAGAACAAGGAGCCAAGTTAGGGAAAATGGTGTGATGGCACCACGTGTGATTAGAAAAGTTGTCTACAAATACAGAATTCCAAAACCCAGGCCCGGCCACCCCTTCTGTTTGATTAAACAAGGTCTAGAAGGAACATCGCATCGCTCAATTTTCAATTGACCGTCAGGGCATTCTTTCTCCACTGTGAAAATACAGGGCACGCGTCACTGATTGCAGTAACTGCATGGGACGCTCTGAAGGCAAGCGGCATGTGCAGTGCTTAACAGTCATTTGGAGTCATTTAGATTTGTAGTCCTTTGGAGTCTGTGGAAGAGCTCAGTAGCTGACACAGAAAATAAACAAAAAAGCCGGGTGGTCCGAGATTTTCCTGTCACTTTCCAGACCTTTGTCGGCATTGCGTGTTTTTCTTATTTCGGCAGCAGCCGGGACCACCAGAACAGCGAATGCACCATGAAGATTCAGGACGGACACTTTAAAGCCCTTGTCATTCACTTTTGGGCAAAGATGTTAAGAATTGTGTTTCTGAAATCAAGGAGGACTGACATTTTTACATCTGTATACCCCAACATCTTTGAAGAAAAGTAAGGTTTCTAAAATATGACATTTACAAGTTAGAGTATGTCCCCCCCAAAATGACATCTGGATAACATGTCACGTTTCTACAATCAAGGGGTTGACATAGATTTCTGAAATGTGTTTTCAGACAAATCCAAGGGCTAGAGCCCTTGAAAATATCAATGCGCGCCGGCAAGACAACAAAACCAATGACTCACAACAGCAAGAACAACAGGGACAGTGACAGCAACCCTTATGGCATCGCCGGTTTGCGAAGCTTTATAATGTGCATGTGTGCTGTGATTTGGGATGTGCATCATGGAGATGTTTGATCTGCGCACAGCTCTACCGTCCAGGCGCGCCCCCAATAAAGGGGATGTTTGAAAGGTGCCGCCAAGTCACAAGCTGACTTTGCGTTCAGGTGGCATCCCACTTGAAGCGTGACCAAATATCGGAAATCCAAAAAACTTGCACATATTTTACTGGGCAACTTTTGGCTTTGAAATTAGCTTTTGCCGCATGCCCTTATATTCCGCCCCACTGATAGGCAAAACAGCAACACGGTCTCAGCTTGAGGTCCTGTTCCTTTCCCTTCGGTTCCGACTTCAGCTCGTGCCTCATGTGGCCTCCACAAAGTAGAGGTGAGCAACCACGGACGTGTTGTCAGCCAAGATTTTTCCGGAATCTTAGAAGTGCAAGGACGTGCAAGGGCTAGATGGGGTGGCATAATGCGGCGGCATGTCCACATACTTAACACAATATCTCAATTGTCAGCCTTTGATTCTTCAACTGGCACAAATTGGGAAGCGAACATCGGCTTTTTACTTCAGGTCTGCAGGGTGGTCTCACCTTGATGGAACATGAATCGATCCTGGGACGGCCTCAAGTCCGAATGAGACTTCCTCGCTTGACATTCCTTGTGACAATCTGAAGCTCGAGTGAAATGACAGGAGCTGCTGGGAGAGTTTGCAGTCACGCCTTGCCAAAGCCAACGCTCGTATACGCTCGTATAGTATCAGCATGTAATGATCATGCAATGCTTCAAATCAAGAGGCTCCATGTGCTGCATGGTCAAACTCGGTCTGCATAACCTCCAAGATGTAACCATCCTTCACAACAAGCTGCCACTATGAGCACTGACTGTTGGAATTGGCTTGCCAAGGCTGCTACCGCTTTGTTCTATTCTTGTACCTCTGTCAATTCCGGTTGTCGCGGTCTGCCTACCTTCTGGAAACAACGCTCAAAGGTTCATCTCTCATGCACCGCACGTGCAACGCGGCAAACTTCTAACCCTCTCTGAAAGAAAGACTCATCAGCGCATGATGGTTTCAACCCATATCCACAAATGTAGAATGACAACAACGACCTAGTATCGGACCGGCTTGTCTTTGTTCTGAGGCGGACATTAAATAAACAAGCCGTTTCCTCGAAGTTGGTGCGATTCAAAAATTGACGCCGCAACACGTGCAGAACCCTGGAAGCTCCTAGAAGCTAACGCGGGTCCTTCTTTCCACGGTATCGAAAGAACTCCTTGACACACTCAACCAGAATAGCAAACTACATGTCCATTGATCTGACGGTATACGTTCAAAACACAGGCTACAAACATGTATATAACATGAGCAATAATGAATGCAAATGCAAGTTCGGTGCCCTCTGTTTGTGTCATGCACGAGGAATTAAGTTGCTTTGAGCAACGACGTTTCATCTCCGATGTCGAAGGGTGCCAAGTGGCAAGAGTACAAACACCTTCTTTATCAAACCACACCACCACCACCACCACCATCATCATCATCATCATACCACGTACACAAACACGACCAACAAAGAATGAAACAAACTGCTCATGACAACTTTTGGGGACTCAATCTTTGAGCGCGTGGCAGTCAGTTGTGCATGTCATCAGTCTCTGCTAAAACACTATCTATTATACTATGATACATATTTGCGTGTGATAGTGTTGGCCTGATAAAACGATGTTGACACGCGGAGTTTGAAAGGCACACGGCAAAAGTGGTCGGCATTCGAGATTCTGTGATTGGCAGTGATGCACCAATTCAAACTAGCTTTGCAGCGATCCCAGCTGAACTTGAAACTGAGGGAAGCTCCTCCTCTTTTGCAACTACTCAGTTCAACAAGGCAGCTTGACCTAAAGCTGAGATTTGGGGGCTCTTGCAAGAACTGTTCTGTTTATGAACAGTTAGCCGTGGAAGCAAGGTGGCGACAATGAATGTCTTGGAGGCGATGGAGCAAATTCCCGAAACGACCGTTCTTACAGAATGATGGCTTTGCCGCTGCTCAGCAATTTCCGACATTTCTTTTTCTCTTTTTGCGAAACACCGACTAATTGAAGTAACTACATCAAATGCACCTTGATGCCAAGCAGCAGTCACCAACTCGACCTTGATGATCGCAGCCAGGTGGAAGCTCATCATGTACACCTTGTTGGGCCAGCCTACTCTGCCTCAAGACTGATTATGCTCAAGCACAGAGCGCCCGTGCCTTCTGCCATGGGTTGATGTCTCCATACGTCTCTACAGGCTTGCTGAGCTGCTTTTGTACCTGCAGATGTTATGCAAGCGGAAGGATTTCGGGTTAGGCAATTGGCTCTACGAGGCCTTTCTCAAATCTATTGTTTGGGCGGGCAACAATTTTTGCTTATTCATTTAAGCAAAGCTTAATAGGCTACATTGAATTGCTTCTCGCTGACTGACAGTGCTCAAGCCACAGATTAAAATGTATATAATTGTCCAGCACCTTGTGCACCAGATCCTGCTCCTCAAAATGAGACAAGACCTGCATATGACTGGGAGCATTGGTGACATACACTCATACGGGGTTGTCAATAAACGAGGAAAGGCCATGAAAGGACATATAATTCATTCGTTGACTCGGCACATACAGGTTGGTGTGGTCAAGCATTCACTAGCATTTGTCCGACTGTCTAGCCTCGTCCAAAGGCTGGTCCAGCTCCATTACCTTAAATTGGCATCGGAACTCGCTGGGCTAGTGACATAGGAGTTGTGGGCCACTGTGATTACGAAATCAGTCAGTAGACAAGGTTGCCACGTGTAGTACACTTAGGAGTCAAAGCTTCATGACTTAGGAACGCCCCCTGAGTTTTTCCAACTATGGCTTCTTGCTGCCCTAGTCTGTATATGTGTATATATATATATATATGTGTGTGTGTGTGACTTTTTGCCATGTGGCTTCTGGTGACATACTCCTAGGTCATGTGTGGTTTAATGTTCCATTTACCTTATATTTACATCCACAGCAGCATCTGAAGGAATGTGACTCATGTGTCACCTATTTTTTTTTCAAGCGGCCAATCTGTACTCAAAGACTCGGTGAAGTGGATCTCTTTTGATTTCCATCCTGTATGAGTCCTGGCGATCATCAAATGGATGCATTTCAATCATCATTGTTCGGTAGAATCACGTGCCACTGTCGGCCTGCTGCCAAAGGACTTCAAAGCCTTCACTCAGGATCATCTCCTGTCCAAGGGCCAAGGATGAGCACAACATACAGTTGATGAATTACAAAAACCACAAAGCCGAAAGGTTTGCAGAATCTGTCTGTTGCAATGGTTGTTTTTTGTGCCGCCTTTGCTCTCGGCGGTTTTCCCACTACCACTTAAGCCCCAACGCGTCTTGCAAAGTACGCATGTCCGAATGTCCAAGTTTTACTGACCGTCTTGCTATGCCTTGCGGCACTTCTAGGTGCACCTTGGCCAAATCATATTGGCCCAAGCTCCGCTGCAACTTTCCTTATCGGAACAGCAAAAGGAGCTGCGCTTACAACCAAAACCTTTTGGTTTTTGATGCAGCTGAGTATCTATAAGTCGTGCTTCCTTTAAGTTCTTGCTGGGCAGGAGGGTTGAGACGATTCAACCATGTTGACATTGCTTCATCTGCTGAATCCTGGCAGGTGAGGAAGGAGCAGTGGTCAAAAGGATCACGTTCAAAAAAGTGACCCCACTATTATGCTGTCAAGGTGGGGTCAGGGCAGGGGTCCAAAAGCTGCTTAAACACACCGTGTTGCTGAAGCAAACTGTGCTTAACTGAAGTGCCAAAATCAAAAGCAAAGCACTGGTTTGACCTGAGGCTTGTTCTAGTGTGGGCAGTTTGGAAGAACAGGCCCCCCTTATCAGTGTCAGGTGCACCTAATATATTGCTTTAGATAAAGCGTAGTCTGTGTGCACACTGGCCTGCCTGCCAATTGAGGCCTCCAAAGATTCCAAAAGAACAACTTCACCGCAGGGTGGAACTTTACCTTTGCTTCGAAGCTGCCGTCTGGCAATCTCTCCGGCTCTGGCCGTCGCGTTGCCAACCCTTTCTACTGGGTTTCGAAGCTGCCGTCTGGAGGGCGTGGCGAGGCACGCCTCTGGCTGTGGCCTTTGCCAACCTGGTTTGCTGGGTTTCGATGTCTCCAGCCACATTTGCGCGCAGAACAACATGGGCTAAGGGCGTGGCGAGGCACGCCTTCCACGTATGCTTGGATGTTGACATCAGTTCAGGGCATGTGGGTGCACCAGGGCGTCACCAGGGCGTCAGCCCATTCTATTAAAGCCCATCGGGCAATGAGGCGGGATGATAGAAGCCAGGCTGCCAAGTCAAATTCCCGCAAGTACTTCTCCACGTCCTTAGTTTCTCACATCTTCTTGCATCCCTGGTTCACATACTTTGGCATGAGCCAGTGACGATGCTAGGTTTTAATGGACTCTGATGACTGTCCCAAAGGCCATATTGGTGAGGCTTTCTAAATCTCCAAGACACAGCCATTGCTTCCTTCACATTGTGGCCAAATAACTCTGAAGCCTCAAAATCAAACATGCTGGGCAGCATGGGCTGTACCAAAGCGTGCCCATTTGGATTGAAACCGGGGAAGTGGGAAGCTTCGAACTGCGTAGCCAGGTTTGCACAAAATTCAATCTTCTTATGCCAACTCATGCAGTCTGAAGCATGTCTCAAGACATGTTGCTGGATGTTACGACATGTTGCTAGAGGCTCCTGGCCTTACTACTAGGAGCAAGAAGCTACTAGGGGCTCCTGGCATCGCTACTAGGAGCAAGGACGCTGCTGGGTGTTACTCTGAGCAAAATGATGCACAAAGAGTGGCCACGTCCAGTGCCACGGGGCTTGCCTGCATCAATTTACTTTCGGAGTCACAATTCTCACTCACCTGTCGGTGCCAGGAAATTGTACAAACGAAGCAAGCACTGCCAAAATATGAAGAAACCAACCCCAACATGCTTTCGAACTCAATTTAAACCAACTATTTACTGGAAAGGGAAAGCTTGTCAATATATCTAAAATATGCCTTCTCTTTGATGCATTGAGCTTATATAAGTCAATTTGTTGAAAAACAAACAGCCTCATTTAGTAATTGATTGCAATTACATCAGCACACTCATGGAAGTATGCTGATTACTTATCTGACCAGGCCACAAGCCTGTGTCAAACACAAACCATGTCAAACTTGGTGCGGTTATCAAACATTTCACCCAACAAACCACCCACCTTTCCGTAGCTCTTGTCACACCGGATGTTGGAGTCGATGGTGCCTTGGCCCTCAGAACGCAAAAAAGGAAGGATGAAACATAAAGAAAAACTGCGAACTGTACCTAGCCTAGCGCTACAATGAAAGCTTCTTGCAGCCCCAGCAGGGAAACAAATGGCCGAAATCGTACACAACTATGCAGAATCACCATAATAATAGTAATAAAAATATACATGCAAGTATGGCAACCACTTTCTCAAGAAGCAACCTCCCTTCTGACAGATTCCATGACTTCCATGCTGCCTTTCCCTATTCCCTTGGCCAAAAATTAGGTGTGCCTTGTGCCCCTCCGATTCAATGTTGGAAATCTCGACATAATCCTCGTAGCTGGCCTATCGCTGACGAACACTTTCGGAATTTTAGTACAGTAAGAGAGGGATGGCCAGCATTTTGGACTTGACACTCTATAAGAAAGTCAAAAATGGTGACACATCCTGCCTGGCAGCAGGCCACTTGTCCCATGGTGCTACGAGTTCCGCAGCTTGGGCCAAAATGAGCTACTTGTACGACTATGCCACGAAACGGAAACGGTTTCTTCAATGCGCATCCTCCTAGAGTTTCTAACAAATTCCATCATCTTGGTCGCTGTAGCATCTTTATCGAGTCGTTGGCTCCACACCCGGCCCAAACTACGACATGCTTTGAGAGCTTCCCTAGGAAAGGGGACTTCTTTGGAACAGCATATGTGTTTGAGGGCCCGGAGATTGCAAAGGTTCTTGCCAGATTGTCTTGCAACGAAGGGGGTAGAGCGGGAGCGGGTGAGTCATGGCTAGCTGGGCTGCTGCAACATGCTGGTTTCCCTGTTTTGACCAGAAAGCTTGCTTTGTGGTGGTCTTAAGGCCTTTCAACTGAGGGTCACATGACATCCAATTCTGCATAGTCTGTCTTGAGGATGCTTGGGGTTGTACACCTGAAGCCTGACGACTCTAGAGATGTACACGGGCGACTTGAGCAATCAGCAAGGCAAATGTCCAAATAGACAGGTATGTCTTTCGGTTTTCTCCAGCCAAAGCGGCAACTGTACACGCTCAAACACGGGACCTGACTCTTAAAGTTCAGGGAGCCAAGTGTTTGTACTCTTCAGCTCGAGTGGGACAATTGTGGGACAAGATCTTGCAACGCGGTGCTTTAGCGGACTTTCGATAGCCCGCATGAACATCATGTTTGACAAGTCTTGCCCAATTCCCGAAGTAGCTGGATGCTATAGTCATCGCCGTTGAATTTGTCATAGTTTGTCGCCTGAAGAAGCATGAAATTGACATCTGTTCCTGGCGACTTAAAAAGACTGGAACACATGTCTTGACTAAATGTTCAAAAGTGTCGCGGTGGGTCAGCATGGGTGTGCGTGCTCGCTGGGTTCACTTGAACACTTCCGGCCCAAACCCAGCAATGCATGTCAGACTCGCCTCTGTTGAAAAGGTCGCTCACCCAATCTCACAAGTCACACAAGCAGGTCCACTTATGTGAGATATCCTGCTGAGGAGTGGCCCTGTCTACGATTTTGGCCAAGCACCTGTACACAATGCGGATGCTATAGCATCAGTCATCTGGCGTGAGAAACTCCTCCACCGATGTGCGCAGGCTGAGTCGCAGTCAAAACTGCCATTGCCACCTACTGGCCAAAGAACTGTTAGCCGACAGAATTTGTTTCATTCCCTTGGCTGGAAAACGCGGCGTCAATGCCTTTGCGCACAAACAGCAGTGCACAGTTTTCGCCTTACCTCCTCGTCGGGGGTCAGCCTTGCCCGACACACACACACACACTAGAGATAGGGCATACGAAAGCCAGCGGCCGCCGACCTCCAAAACCTCACCAGCCTCAGATCTACTATGGAATGTGACTACTCTACGTCACACAAAGCAGGTACATCAATCCAGCAGCCCGGATCGATTTCACACTGGCGCCTTCTTTGGTGCCAGGCCAGTGCGCATCCCTGGCACCCCCGGCCGAAAAGTAAAAAAAACAATCAAAAGAACAACAAAAGGACCCCTGGGATTCCAAGGCCGACACACACTCTGACATTGGTTTTCAGTTAACTCAATTGCCACGTTGGGAAGGAAGGTGAAGAACGGTAAGGTGAAGAGTCCGCAAAACTTGTAGATGTTTGAACAAAATGGTTTGAAGTCTGCAGAGAGCACGAAAACGAAGCGCTCACGAAAACGCGCGGCTCAGTTGCAAGAACGCGGTGGGAAGGTTTAGGGGGAGTATCATGAAGAACCATGAAAACAAACAAGGTCAATTGGACAGCTTGTTCAACCGTTAAAGCAGGTACACATCCATGGCCAGTGGATGCTTCCCTCTCTGATGCCTAGCTTCGTTGGACAGAGTAGCATCAGAGAGCTCTGTCCCCCTGCTTTAAATTAAACTAGACCCTTGGAAACAGGGTTTGACACACACACGGTGCCGCTTCGCGGCGCGCATGTGAAAGACCTGAATAGTCACCTAAAAAGCCTTAGAAACAAAAGAAAAGAAAGACAGAAAGAGCAGCGCTAAGAGGGCAAGAAAGAAAGGTAGGTGTAGAAAAAGTGAATGCTTAGCCCTTGACTGGGGTAGGGAAACGAGCCTCAAGAGCAACCTAAAACGCCTGAAAGAAAGCCCAACAAGCGACGAAAAGCGCAAGAAGGAAAGCGGGGGGGGCAGGGAGGGGCTGTGTACATGTGTGTGTCTGAATACCTAGCACTCTAGAGTTACTGATTACTTAGCAGAGATGAATTAAGTGCAATAGCTAGGGAGCGGGACTTTAGTCTTAGACCGCCCGGGTAGGATAGACTAGAACAGGAAAGGCACCGACACACAAGTGTGTCGAGTACCATTTCCCTATGTTGCCCTAAATAGGTAGGGAGTAGAACTCGGCTGGGGGGGGGATTGGGAAATCTGCCTCATTGCGGGTGGATTACCGTTTTATAGCCCGGCGGCTCTGGATTCGGTGGTTGAGATTGTCTGTTTTTTGGTCCGGCGGCTCAAAAATCCGTTAATTCAGTTATGAAAGTGAAGAAGCAAAGGGTCAGTTATAAATATGAAGGACCAGTGAATTCCGGAATGGTTTCGGCGCCTCCTTTCGGAGGGTCACACCCAGCACCCAAGTGGGAAGACTGAGCGGCTCACACTCTGACATTGGTTTTCAGTTAACTCACTTGCCACGTTGGGAAGGAAGGTGAAGAACGGTAAGGTGAAGAGTCCGCAAAACTTGTAGATGTTTGAACAAAATGGTTTGAAGTCTGCAGGGAGCACGAAAACGAAACGCTCACGAAAACACGCGGCTCAGTTGCAAGAACACGGTGGGAAGGTTTAGGGGGAGTATCATGAAGAACCATGAAAACAAACAAGGTCAATTGGACAGCTTGTTCAACCGTTAAAGCAGGTACACATCCATGGCCAGTGGATGCTTCCCTCTCTGATGCCTAGCTTCGTTGGACAGAGTAGCATCAGAGAGCTCTGTCCCCCTGCTTTAAAATAAATTAGACCCTTGGAAACAGGGTTTGACACACACACACACACACACTGCAGGGTGGTTAAGGGATCAGCAAAATCAAGGTGCATACTATATGACCACTACCTTAGACCACCTCCATGTCCCACCAACCTTGATAAAATTAGAACCTATTAAAACTAATTTGGGGTGGGTACACCCACTCCACCCCATATTCAAGTGAGACAGTGTCATACTGCTGAATTGATTTCCACCTATCCTCATCGATTTTTCAAGCGACAATTGACATGAGTCTACGGTAGACCCACCCTCAATCAGGAAATTAATTGAGGTTTGGGTCACTCAAGCACTGAAAACTAAGTGACAACCACCCTACACATACCTGTGAATTAATCGCGTGAATTAATTTCTAGGCAAAAGTAATTCACAAAAATGAATCCATACAGTCACTCCACCCCTCAAATATTTCCTAAGGTAGTGCCCATCATACTATGGGTGTTTCGTGGGCACACTAAAACTCGAAGAAGTTGTCGGGTTGTCGCAACAACAACAATAGCAACAACATGTACTATAACTATAATAAATACAAAAATATTTACATAACGAAACTTAAGAGGCTCACGTTTTTGGCTGTGCACCTGAGGTGGTCTTGAACCCAAATTACGACATTCGATCGGTGGAGCCGGGGACAACGGAAATGGCACTAGGGGCGATCGAGCTTGGGAAGACCAAAACACATGGCTGCAATGCGTGTTCCGCATGATGTTATTGTGTATTCTCACAGTCCCCTGATGCTCAAGCCCGCTCGTCTCCTCACCTTCTCAGAGCTGAAGCTCTTCAAAGACAATCTTGTAGCGGGAGCTCAATTGACCAGCGTATATATAGCAGCACCTCGCTGTCTTCCAAGCCTTTCCGCAAAGAATGTGTTTCCATGTCACTCCGCTTCTCCGCGCCCTTCACCAACATCTGCAGGAACTTTTTGCGCTCCAGAGTTTGGATCCTGAGAATCTACCTCCTGTCATCTCACACCAAGAACCCCGAGGTAAAAGGTGCAACAAGTCGTCGCCGTCTTCTCCGTCTAAAGTGTGCAAGCTGGTGACCTGCAAACTCTTTAACCCTGTTGGCCCAAGCTGCAAAACTGTCCTATGCACGTGGGGTTCTTCTGTCCCTGGAATGCATGTATTCTTTGTCTGTCCACTTCTTTACACTGCGAACCATCTAGTTCGTCTTGAACACGTCTGCGACTGTACTGGCCGGGGTTGAAGGCACAAGAAAATTCACACCAACTGCATAGAAGACGCATCTCTCCTGCTAGCCACGACAAACTTTCCAACGCTCGCTGAGAGTTTGCCTTGACGACTTCGATCTCATGAGATTGATATTTCTTCGAAGTCAGCCATGCACCTTGTTTGTTTCAAGCGGACGCTACAATCCTTCCTCCACTCTGCACCACTCAAAGGCATCCTGCCTCCACCCACCCCAGCCCACCCCTGGCTTTTTTGCTTCAATCGAAGTCATCTACATGTCAATGTCCGCGAACATGGTTCTCTTGTGAGCCTCAGGTGCTTGAACTAACCCGCACGCGGCCTTCGTCAACAGCATGGGCGTGTCCTTCTCCATTCCAACTTCTTTCCTGATCTCTGGAAGCGGCCTGCGCCGCAACAGTATTTTTCCTCTCCTTGTAGAAATCGTAGATGTGGTCTGCTGACGTCACTTCTCTGAGCAAATTTCTTCCACGCACAAAGTTGGAAACAGAGATGTCTTCCAGCCATACTTGGGTCTTGGTTATCCACGTGCAATAGCTCTTGCATGGGCCTTCTTGCTTGCCTCAACTTGCTGTTCTTCGACTGACTTGCAACGTGCGCTTCTTCTGAATTGTTGCAAAACTTCTTCCATCCCCATTTGCTCTCAGGAAGGGAAAATTCAACTTCAACTGCCCAGCTGAAAATTTTGTTCTTGCTCTGCTGAGAATTGCAAGAAGACCATTCAAGATCACAAACGCAGGCGCCAGGTGTGGTCGAGCCCAGCATTGTCTGCGCGCAGACGAAATGCGCGCTTCTTCGTAAAGCTTCGCCGCCGCTTTTGGCCTAAATGCCGCCCTCTCTCTCTCTCCCTCCCTCCCTCCCTCCCTCCCTCCCTCCCTCCTCACCCCGTTCCTCTTCTCTTCTCTTCTCGCAAGCTTCTGGCCTCAAGTTTTGGGGTCTACCCCCTTCTCGTTTGAAGCAGCTGATCACCTGTGGGGACCTCTCCTGTAATGTCATTGAACACACACCTCTTCGCGTCCCTCTCAATATGATTGAATGCCCAAGGCAACCCCACTGGCCCAGAAAGTTTCTATCAGCACGCCTTCGTCAGTGGATACTTGTTGAGGCCCGCTTGGGAACGTACTTGGGGCCGGCATGGTCACCAACACCACCTCTGGACGGGTCAAGTGACAACACTGAACATAGCTTGGGTGTTGGCTCAACACCGATCTTACCTTCTCCCAGCCGTTGGGCCAGTCGTTGAGCCTTGGTCACTAGAGATGCCACCGTGTCTGTTGCTGAGAAGCTGATGTTGTTCTCCTTCAAGTAGGGCTGAAGACCTTTCTTCTTGGTGTGACGGCGCACGTCCACCAGTTCGTCTGACATCTGAAAACTGACCTGGTGTTTCTGCCCAAAAAGCTTTGATCTGAACAAGAGTCCGCTCCAGTGGAACGTTGGCTCCCTCGTCCCGCGGCTTCTCCACCCGCTGTGCCTTCATGGCCGGCAACAGCGTGATGGCAAAGTCACTCTTGGGACTCTTGGGCTCAAGAGTGCAGCAGGCTTGATTTTTCAAGCTGATTGCCAGCTTTGCAGTGCCCTCCACTTCTTTCACCAACCCCACGATGCACCTCTTCTGGTATTCAATTCCCATCAAGCAAACAGACCAGGAGACCTATCATACTTTGGTACGACACCTCCCCGTCCGGGAGATGGCTTCTCAATAAGTCTTCACTACGTGGTTCCAATGACCACAACACACCGCCACAAGCCTTACGACCAGGTTCAGGCTTCCATGAAAACTCAAGTGGCCCGCGTTTCAGGCTATGCACCTGAGGGGGGGTCTTGAACCTAAATCTTGACATTCGATCCACGGAACTGAGGACAATGGAAATTGCATATAATTACAGTAGTAACTCTGATCCTTTGCTAGTCTTTGGGCCATGTTGTTGGATAGTGTTGGATAAATGCTCTTTTTGCAAGTTCAGTGTGACCTCGTTCTTGCTCCTGTGTTTATATCAGTTGAACCCTTCATGTCCTTTGTCCTTTCTTCCTGCCTGCGTCTTTTCTCCACTTTCATTCATGTTGAGCCCTTTTTGGTTCAAGCAGAAATGAATGGTGATTGCCGCCCTGGATTGCCCGGGGCAAAGAAACCGGTGATGTCTCTCCATTCTCCCCTTTGCACTGAGCAACTCAACCATTTCTATGAGGTGAGGGCACTGAGACTAGGTCGTTGAAGGAACAGGGTCCACTGCTGATCCTTCTGCTTGCGATGTAGCCTAAAGACTCTAACTCGCGTTTGCAATGCACAATGATGTGCAACTTTTCTGCCACAGGTTTCAGTTCAAGTTGGACAAAGGTTTTTTTGGATCTACCTTCTACGGCAAATCGGGCTCCTTCTGGCCTTTGGTCGATCGGGTGGGGCATCGCACTCTGGAGCTCCTGCAACTGTCTATGTTTCTTGCCATTTTGTGTAAAAAGAGCTTCTCATCAAGCGCCAAAAAGGCATGCACTATCCTTTAGCATGCTTGACGCTGACACATCTGACACCGAAGGAGCTTGTAACTTGACCTGTTTCAAACATGAGCGCCTGCACGGTCTCCGCACGTCCAGGAAGCGGTGCCATGAGCGGCATAGCGTGGACCACTTGGTCCACTTGCTGGCGCCTGGGTGGCTGTTTTCCGTTGTCGACCGGACTGACATCACTGAGAGCCTGATGTGACCCAGCCTCAACAAGGGAATTTTCAGGAAACCAGCTTGTGGCAGAACTTCCAACATGGCGGCCATAAAGCCAACCTGGCTTGCACGTGCAGGATGAGTGAATACGTATTTATATACTGTATAGTTATAACTATATAGATGTAAATACGCAGCGAGTCATGCAGAATCCGCCACAACATGCACAAGCGGGTCCCAGCCTCTGCTTGCTGCAAAGATTTCCATAACACTTGCGCGCTCGGCCTAGTGTAGGAATTTATAGTCAGGCATTGGGAGTCCAACAACTGTTGAAGTTGATGGCAGTGAGGCAGCGAGATGCAGCAATGTACATATTACAATATAATTGTATATCATGAATATCGGTATATGTATACATTGTAAATAAAGCATAGTAAAGCTATATAGAGGCACGAGCGTGCTCGTGCTACTGAGCTTCACTGAGCCAAATCAAGAGCCAGCCTGCTTGCTGGGAAGTGTCACCAGCAGCCCTTTCGGCGGAGGTACCAACGGTGGTGAAATTGGCTGTGGCGGCAGCGGTTTTGCACCAAGACCGGTGCCTGTGAAGTGCAAAAGCTATTCTTGGGTATTCAGCTCTTTTGGCCGCACAGTGGTGTACGTGGAAGTGGCTTTGCACGAAGAAGAAGAAGAAAAAGAAGAAGAAGTCCGAGCTTCGCAACGAGCTTATGTATGTGTATGCTATATGTATACACGTGTGCTTATGTTTGCATTTTGCTTTGTTCTTCTATTTCGTTCGTTCGGAATGGAGGCCACGAACCGTCTTGGAGGAATCGAGAAATGCGTCATATACAGCATGCTATACACACATGATCACACATGCCAGGCCTAGCTCTTCCACATAACTCTTTGGAATAAAGCCCACAAGGTCAAAGTCCCTGGCAGTGTGTCCATAAAGCCAAGCATTATCAACTTCTGCTTCCACCTGCGTGCTTGCTTGGGCCCTGCGTGGGCCAACAAATTACATGGAAACAGCGCGACACTGTGCGGCTATGAGTGGCTGTAAAAACCAACATCCCAAAACCTGCAGGGATCAACGCCAACACAAGCTCGGACAATTCTGACAATGGTCACCTGCTTTGCAATATGATATAACTAAACAATGTTTTTTAATATATAGTGATATTGATAAACGGCGTGCCACAGTTCCACATAGTTCAACAACGTTCCATATGTCAATGCTGCGCATATGGCGTTCACATATCACAAATCAACCGTGTCCTGCCATGTCTAGGCGTGAAACCAAGTGAAGCACTCAGCCTGAACCAAATCTCCTTCCAGCAAGTCCAGCGCAGTGCCCTTCAGCTCGCGGCCATCGAATGAACAAGCGACACGAACAACATAACCTTGGGAGACAGACCACGCCGGGCTCGAGTGGTTCAAAAGCAGCTCGATCAGAAACTGAAAAATTACTTCACCACCTCTACTGATTCCAATCAGTTGATGCATTTTCTGATGGCAATGGTGCACGCAATTCCAAGCTATCCAAGCTACTTTTCCACTTCCACTCGGGAGATTCAGCATCAACTTGCCTTAACATGGCAATCCCAATTGCCACAGGGTGGTAGCACATGCCAAATATGGTGACCACCCTGTTGCTATGTTGCCATAGCTCAATTGTCAATTTGCTGTTGGCCAAAGGCCGAAATGACATTATGTTGGACATTGTGACAAGACCATGCTACGTCATCCTAGATGATCCTAGATCGTTGCCTGCAATTCCAGAATCTGAAACATCCTGTTCAGCTGGCCGAGACCACAGGAACATAAAGCATCAAAGTCAAGATAGCGGCCTTGACGACACAGCACCATCAAAGTTGCACTCTGCCAAATGCCGACGCCTGTTCAATTTTTGAGACGGTCAAGAACAGATCGGAAACAGCACCAGGAAATTGCACAATGGTGAGGCTTCCAAGCAAACTACCACTGGACATTACACAAGGCCGCGGAATTGCAGTGTCCAGGCCATGGTATGAATGCTTGAATATTGCTAACCCCGACAAGAGAGCATGCACGTACAGCACTACTTCAGCTGTCTTGAACATTCTACCATGAGAAACTTAAGGAAAGCAACTTGGTTGAGTCCAGCCGAAATGGTCAGCTTGCCTGACAAAACAAACTGCAAAGGTTTGTTCTTTCTAAGTTGCGCCGTCATGAACTGAATGCGCCTCATTCTGAAGAAAAAGAATGTGCAAACACCTGCCTGAGCCGAGTAAGAGTCAAAACAAACAGTGCCACTGAGTAACCACAATTTGTCCCTGCATGTCCAGTTCAGCTGACATGCGTAGTAATATCTCTCTACATATATATATACAGTATCTACATATATTGTGATTTTTGTCAAGTGGCATCTTTTCTGGAACGATTTCACACAATTCTGACTTCCCAATCCTTGGGGTGAGACGGGCTTGGCATCGGGCAACTTCCAACACTAACACTGCGTCGCTTGTCCAACCGATCTACTCGAAGTATCTTTCTGCGAAGTTGTGCCATGTATCCCTCTAACTGCCCAACCTGGCCAACCCCCGAAGGTTGGAACAAGTTGCCACAAGTCAATCTATTTCCCGTTGGAAATATTAATGATGAAATCGTAGAACACAATTTCCTGGAGCACAAACAAATGCATGACACTGTAGGATTTGTTGAAGAAGCTTTAACTTGTTCAAGGGGGGTCTCAAATGCCTCAAGGCCTTCGGCCACAGACAGTGAAACGCATTCAAAGGGAGGGCAAGGCAGGATGAATCACAATTGAATCGAATCAAGGTTTTGTAGCTGACAATGCCGTTCATTCCTGCAATTCTCTCCCTTTGCTGCTACGACATTCGGGACTTGTCTCTCGCCAGTCTTGCATGTGCTTTCAAACCAACGCTCTCGGAAGCGTCCAAGATGTCAAGCCACTCTCCTAATATGATACAGCAACGGGGCTGCATGACAAAGGCCTCTTGGATCCTTTTGGTAGAGTTTTAGGTTGGCACAAACGGGAGGTAGAATTGCATCAAAGGTTGGGGCCAGCAAGGTGCCAAAGCGCAGCTCCATGAGTTACAAAACGCTTCAGCTGTCATAAAGATGTTGCACCCATATGACGCATCATCAGGGGTTGAAACTGGATTGTTTCAGCATGCCACCACACTTTGCACTGAAGAAAATCACTTCCGGGTAGCAAGGTGAGTAGCTTTGCCATGCTTCCCCCCCCCCACCACATCCCACCGGCGAGAACTGCGCTCCTCGTGTCGCAGGAACCGGCGGCCGGTTTCATCCCGGTGAGCTGTCCAACCTGGAGACGGTGTGCAATAGTGGACATAATGGACATAGGAAATGCAGAAAATAAGCAACATGAAAGAAAGATTCTTAGAACATGATAGAACTGCAGAACCCAACGACAGCCATCATCACAACCATGCTTTTGTCAGTGCTTGCGCGTACCTGCTGGGATTTGCTGTGCACGACGGAGCCGTTTTGCCAAAGCTGCACACTTAGCATGCTTCACATCGACGCGATCCGCAGACTGAGCTGCGCGATCTACACGGTGCCGCACCTGCATTGGCCGATCTGAATGCATAAATGCTTATCATATATATAATACATATTGTACTAATGTACAATATATGTATATGTAAATGTGGTTGACAAATGGTCCCTGGTTCTTGGATGTTGCTAGGCCTCGAAAGAAAGATTACACTTCTTCTGCACTTCAGCAGAAGAATAATGTTTGGGGTTCTAAGGTCTATGCAGTCAAACCTATTGATCATGACCTATCATGCTTGGACACTAAAATTCCTGCCTCCAGATTAGAGTATGATTTCTCATCATTTCTACTCGTTTTGCAAACCCGGCCTTCCGCTGGATGCGATCTGCTTCTCTGCTGAGATATTCCATCTGCTTGGCCACCAACAACATCAAGCGATTGGTGGCAGACGTAGTGGTGGAAATCCCCAGCGCCCACCTTATTATTGTCCAAAAACTTATTGCAAAGGCGCTTTGCAAAACTCAGCCACTGCGTTGGCTTCGAAACCTTCCCAAGGAACCTGGAGGTTCGTTCAATCAGCCGCTCAGCACTCGCAGGATCCATGCCACGCTTCACCAAGAAGTCCGCATCAACTCGGACATCTTTCTCTGCACGCGCCAAGTCCTGAACGGCCAAAGGATCGGCACACATGATCATGAAGGCATATCAAGGCATGTGCATGTTCTCCTGAAATGCTCTTACAATGCTCTCAAAAGAAACAGGAACCTAACCGACTTTATACATTTGTCTGCACCTGCTTTTTTGAATCAGGGCAAGTAGGACCTCTCAAAGGGCTGGGACTTCCACAAACTCAGAGGCACAGCAATGCACGGCATCATCATAGCAATCGCGATCTCTTGGCTTCACAAACTGCTGAGCATATCTTCGGTCCTCCCGAGTGCACAAACGCCTGTCCGTCTTCATCTGCATCAATTTCCTGAGCAAGTCTTGGAAATGCACACTCGTACACACTACATTACAGAAATCAGCTCCCGTACTTCGTTTCTGCATGTCTATATACCAATCCAATAGGTAGGCATCTTGTAACACAGTTGCTTGATATATACTGTTTCCTGATGATGTAGTGTGAGCCTAACTCGTGACCTATGGTGAACACAAAGCCTCATATTGCGCCAACTGCACATCTCTTGGCATTTGATGTGTTTGTGATCCAAGTTGCTTCACATGCGCAGGATCCAAGTCCTCCGCGAGCATCTTTAGCAAGTCATCATCTGGGACGCTCTTCATGGAGCCTTCGTAAGAGCGCTGATGCCATAGATTCTTCATGACCTTCGCGAAGCCGTGCTGAAACTTACAGCTTGGCTAGCCAGCTAGCCATTCCAAATTAAAATAATTAGTTTTAACGAAGCCAAGGAAGGCAAAAACTGCGGACTACGGTGCCAGTGCCAATATATTATCATGATTATTCCTCTTGTTTTCTCCTTCGTTTGCGGTGTGTTCATCTATTCCGTTGAGTTGTCACTTTGTGGCCGGAAACAAGGGTGCGAATGGGCGGCATCTCTCCAGCTAAGTTGCTGCCCAGATTTGCCGAGGCAGTCCAATTCCTGGTTCACCCAGAGCCTGACGAACCTCCAAAAACAGCTGCAGCACTGCTGCAGTCAGCACCTTCACAGCACAAGCACGAATCGAGTATTGTCGGAATTGTCCGCTTGTTCTGCACATGAGTTTGTCTGCTTGGTTACCTTTCACTTTCAGCTCAAATCATGATTCATGCGGCAGCAAGCACAACCTTTGGCACAATCGATGCAAAAATCTGAATGACATGCTGCAATGCCGCAATGCTGTATTATGTGCGAACTTCCAAATGGCTCAACTGCATCCAAATCAAACTCGGCACTGTGTTGGAAATCTCAAAAGCCCCACAGGCTTGGTCTGACAGAATGACTTCATCTGGTTTCCTTCCTTCCTTTCCTGTCATGAGAAAATATGAGAAGTTTGATTTTGTGAGGGGTGTGTGAGCAGTAGCTGCACTCGGCTAGCCTAATGGTTGTTCTTGCGTCGTTGTCGTGTCAGCACATTGCTGGACATTAAGGTACATTGCTCAAAGGCCCTCACCGCCACATTGCTACTTTGTGACATTTCCAGGGTTCCATAAAAACGAGCGGATAGAGAGCACCAGCTCCAAGCTAGCATCAAAACTTAGTGAAAACGTATGGATCTATATATGAGTCAGCTTGGCACCTTTAACTTAAAGCCTTTCAGCATATTCAACTTTATTCCGGCCTTTGAGAGCACCACGGTGGTGGTAAGGAAGAAGCTCCACCACCAAATCATCGCTAACACGGGCGCTACATTTTTCCTAGGATTTTCACATGATGCACTGAGTCTCGGCTGGCATCTGAGAACAAACACCAAGCCAGAAATATGATAGATGGAGGAAGACGAAGAAGCTATGGTCTGGTAGTTGCCTGACAAAAACAAATCTCTGAGCAAGGCGTCAAGGCGGCATAGTCGAACTCCCCCAAAAGCACTTGGGTTAATGTAATGATAGATCCTCCGAAGGTGGACCTAAGAACGTCTATTCAGCTGGTGAGCAAACCGAGCAGCAGCAAATGAACCATGTGATTCAAAATTCAAGGTGCGATCCACGATCAATGGCAAGGGGCCACTCCAGCACCTGCTCGCCAAAGAGGATGTAGCCACTAAGGGCAAAGTTGCCGCAGACCACCAAAAAGACAACCTGAGTGTGTATCATAAAGAGTCAAAGTATCGAAAATGTCGACTGTGTCCCTTGTGCTCCGCTACTCTTCCCTAGCTGCTACTGTAGCCCTGGCTGCCTCTCTGTTTCAAGTCAGTGCGTCAAGCGGCCAAATAGTGAAGAAATAGGTTGGACATGTACATCACTGACTGCAAAATCACAGCCGTGCGGGGCTGTCCAGTAAATCCACGGTAGAAACGCAAGCAAAGACACACCTTACAGAGGCAAATAAAAGGCATAAGCAAAAATGCGCGCAGGCTCTGTTCTATCACATCCCCTCCAAAAAGAAACCAAGTCCAATTGGCACACTCTTCAAATCATCTGCAGTTTTGGGGAGTTGTTGCTCTGAGGTGCCGCATACCAAGCCGTCATGTAGCGCAGCCACATGCTCAGACTCAGGACGTTGTCCACTGCGTCCAGAAGCTTCGCACACTGCGCGGGCCAAAGAGGAAAGTCTTAACAATAAATTATCTTCAACAGTCTATAGACCATGTTGTGCAGCCAAAAGCAGTAAGAAAGTGCAACTAGTTGTTCTGTCCTGTCCGCGGAACTGCCGATTCTCCAAAATGCTCTGCACTTTTCGTGAATCTGGAGCCGCGAGGACCGAGAAGCTTGGCAGGTTGCCCAGCTCAGAGATCATCGAAGTGAAGAACTCTGTGCTCACGACAAAGGCAATCGCCATGAAAACAATAACCTCAAAGCGAAATCAAGAGTGACTGGGACGACGACAACGACAACAACAACTACGACTACGACTACGACTACCACTACCACTACCACTACCACTACACTTACCACTACCACTACCACTACCTACTACTACTACTGCTACTACTACTACCACCACTGCTACGACCACCACCACCACCACCACCACGACCACGACGACGACGACGACGACGACGACGACGACGACGACGACGACGTCTACGACTACTACGACTACTACGACTACTACGACTACGGCGACGACGACGAC